CCAACAGCTTCTTCCCAAACGGCGGCGGCGCAACAAAGAGCTACGACAAGCTCACGAACGAGCACACCGGCAGCTGCTCCACCGGCTACTGCCCATGCGGGGCCGAGCCGACCACAGTTGCGCCAGCTATCGTGACGAGTGATGCAAGCAAGGTGAATTTTGCATCCTTGGCAGGGCTCCTGTGCTTTGTCGCAGCTCTTGGCTGAGAGCCGAGACCAGGATTTTGTATGAACTCTCCCTGTGCGTTTGTGCCCGTAGCGGATCGTCACATGGAGATCTACCCGTTTTGAGTTCGGTTTCCAAGCTGCGCTGCAGGCAGTGCAGCTTTGCATGTGTTTTAAGTCTGTTCTTAACTTTGCATAACTTTGCAGCATTGCGTGGATGCGGATCCGTTGATACGGAGCTCCACAGCCGTTTGTTCTTGAGGAAGGTGGTCACTGGCCTCCGGTACTCCCCCCACCGGGTGCTGCAGCGGCCGACAACGGAAAGTGCACTTGAATGCCCAAAAGCGGCTTGAGGGATCTTGCTCCTGCATTCTCGTGTTTACCCCGCTCCTGATATTTGATGTCCATCTTTTTAAGCTCAATGCATACTTTGTATTTGAATTACAGGAGTCTTTGAACCAATATCCCTCAAGCAATGTCCCTCATTATGGTTGAGGTTTGTAGGTTTAGACGAAGAGCCCCATCAAGTGCTTTTCAATTCCTGTGAATATCTGCAAACTCTCAACGAAGACATCTAAATGAACACCCCAAAAAGCTGGCTGCTCAAGAAGCGATCCATTCTTTTCAGAAACCACTTCATACTCAGGTTCTCATGCTGGCACAGTTTGATTGCATGAATGGCATATATGAACATGAGAACCTAGCGCGCAGGAAATGAAGTATAAGGATGGGCCATGGAAGTTCCATACCTTGTAAACGAGCCGGACATCCGCCACAACCCTCTAAGACTCTAATGCGACGGGCTACTAGTAACTGGAGAGCAGCTCGGTCCACATTACGACCACTGCGGCTAGCCCAAATGTATACAAACGCTCGTATGTAGTGAACATCACCCGTACATGCCCCCTCAAATTTGGACCATTTTTTGAAACAATCTCATGCTACATATTCTCAGGCTAGCACCTCAGCTCGGCTCAGCCAGACGGGAGTTGGAGTTCCTGTTGATCCGTACGTCTTCCAGTGCTCGGTCATGTGGCTATGACTCAACATAAGGATCGTGTTATCTGCTCTTGACGGTTGTAGTATTCTACGAATCTTACGTAGGCACGGTAGGCAATTGCAGAGTTGTTCTGAGAACCTGTTCCTTTATTCCGGGGCTTTGCAGTACACCTTGCTCACACGAGTTGTGTTTGTGGGCTTAGAGCTTTTTCAGTTCTGCAAGCACGGGGTAGAGGATCATGACCGGGGAAGTTCCGCAGTTAAGGAAGTGTAACGAATACAGAAGCACTGCCCGGGATGACGAAAACTAAGAACATTCTTATGTCTGCCATCATAAATTCACCGTAATAATTTCCATTTCTTGCCTAAGAACCAGACGGAATCAGACTGTTGATGACCCGAGGCCTTTCCTGATGCGTGGCGTCA